ATCTGATGACAAAGTAACTTCAAAAATAAGGACATTTGTCCTAGCTTGTTGGCTTCTGGAAGGTTTTTAAGCTGCTGCTAACCACGGACTTCCTCTTGGCTGAAGCCTGTGAGTGACAACATGTGCAAGCAGAGAGCTCATTAACAGTCAGGATGTTTGAGGGCGGTGCTCCGTGTGCAAAGCATGTTTAATTTTATCAGCAAATCAAGCTATTTTTATTCACAAAGTACTCTGTGAAAATGACAAGAGCATGGGAGAGCTGAAAGATTGCGAGATATAGAGGCAACTATTTCTATTTTGAAGCCTCTGCTGAGAAGAAAAAAATTATTGAGGCTGAAATGCTGCATTCAAGCATTTACTGTCTCTCTTGACAGTAGAAGCATCGTAGGAGACAGAAGAGCAAAAATTAAGTTAGAGAGATAATACACAGGAAGCCAATGTTATGTTATATTAAAAACAGCCAGTACTTACAGTGACAAGCTTGGAAACTAGAAAGGAAATACTGCAATACTAAAGTATGCAGAACATGTTATGCCTATATTCTTTCCCCCACCCCTTTACAAAATAATATTAAGTGCAGAATTATCACCACAAAATGGCAGGAGCTAGATGCGAAATGGGTAGACTACTTCACAGATCACTGAAGAAGAACCTAGCTGTCTCCCTTGGGTACAGAACTGTCCTGATCTTAGAAAGAGATGCAGATTATTTGTATATTTAAATGGTGTCTTTGTGGTTTATAGAAAAAGCCTAAATATGGAAAAATTGTCTCTCTTATCTGTGCTGAAGAGACAACATAGTACGGAATTGAAAATTGAAAAAAGAGAAAACTGATCTCTTCCCATTCTATTCAGACCAGCAGTCCACCCCCCAGTGCTCAAATTAGGCACTTCTTAAGAAGTAGGTACTTCCTTCAGGAAGGCTGGCTCTCAACGCTTAAAATTCTAGCTCAGGCACCCACTGGGTGACAAAATAAATACTGGCTTTGCTGGAATCCAAAAACAGCTGTAACCCAAAACAACTGAAGTAAACACTTACAGCCTAATCCTCTTGCAGTAGAGGAACTGTTGTGAAGGTGGAGAACAAAACACTACTGTCATTCTTTTTGATCTGATAATCTTTTAGCAACTACAGTTTTATCTTTACTAAAATATGTAACTTGTGATAAAGCTATTTGCATCTTTCATTTTTTCTAGAACAGTTACCACAGACACACATAGTTTCATTTCTATGGTTTTGCATTTTTCTGATGGGTTGTCTTACTCTGTGAGATGTTTGATTCTTTACAAGACAGCTTTACTTCAGTTAGGCAGGTTTAAGACCTTGATTTTAGTTCTTAGGCCTAAGTATATGTCGTAGAAACCCATACAAAATTAGTTTAAAGTAACATGTCTTGCAGCGTGGCTCATTGGCCATCACTGGTGCAGATGCTACTGCCAACCCAAGTATTTTGTCTTACAAAGGGGAAATCCCGGCATCTCAGAGTTAGCCATTCTCATCATCACTTCTCAGGATCCCATCTTGGTAAATCTATCTAAATTATTATTTTGCAAGATGCAAAAGTCAGCTACTACAAGTTAGCTACACTGAAGATTCTCAAAATACTAAGTATAAATGGTTTTTGGATGGGGAAGGGACTTTTTGGACAAGACTTTAACTTGATTTTGGCAAGTGTGCTTTTATTCTGTAGTCCTCCTTTAGTTGTTTGAGAGTCTGGATGAAATCCTGGTATTATTGAGTCAGAGCTGAAACTCACACTGCTAAGTGTGAGATACTGGTGTATCTTGGTGTTTAAAAACATAAGCAGTGAAATGTATATTGAGGCAGAATTTCCTTTCCAATGCCATAATTCCAACATTATTCTGCTAAGGAGCTCACAAATCTTGTTTGGCACCTTCTACTCACTCAGCATGCTATAAAGGGCGGGAAGCCCAGTCTTTAACACTTATTAACATGGTAAAGCATTAGTAGGCAGACAACTGGCTCACCACCTGGACAGAAGAGAAGCATGCTTCTTCTCTCTTGCATTGATTTCTGGTCCTTGTGCTTTGCCTGACAAATTCAAAATTAGATTATTATTTAATAACTGGACATTCATACTATGTCCAGCATCTTCAGGCTGTGTATCTATGTATTTGTATGGATGGAGCATTTTCCAGACCCATGAAACTAATGGGTTGTTTCTGTTCTCAGTTGCATGTGGTGTCATTGACAAAGGCTGTGTCATGTGTCTAACCACAGGTGCTTATATACCATAAAGACTCTTCTAGGAGTCAAAGCATCATACATCAAGGGCAAGAACTGTGTTACCCTCTCTGAATTTCACCCTGCACACCATACTTAAATATTCGTATGCCTAGAGGTCAGGACTGTCAGCAGGTCGCACTACACCATCAGCAGGACAGGGACTTCACTTTCCTGATAGCTGGATGCCTGGACCAGGAACATGGGACCATGGTCCATCTCCTTATGTGAGCATCTTCCAAGGTCAGGCAAGGGCTGGGCTGGAGATTCTGAGACTATGTATTTTAATTGAAACACCTGAAATCAACATCTTGTTGACTTTCCATTTCCCAGATTTCAAATAATCTTAGATGTCTAAAAAACTAGAAGTCTACATTTGAACTGGTAATTTTATGCTCCTACTGTAGTAAATAAAGAGGGCTATCAGGAAGACATCCACAATAGGTTGAATGTCCCTCTGTGGATGCCCATTTCTTCCTTCCAGCTGCAAAGAGTGACCTGCTCAGACAGCTATGGAACTTACAGGTGTAAAAACTGAAGCAATGAGTCACAATCGAGATGTCCGCATCCCATCAGCACACAAACGTAGCCAAAAGTGTAGCTGAGAAACCCCGCAGCTCTGTAGAGCGCAGAACTGCAGCATTTCTGAAACTCACTGCAGATTTTAATAGCTGTCGTCTACCCTAAAAATACACTTGCACCTCTTCTCCTTTCTGTAGCGTCTTGCGTGTTCTTTCTCGGGAGCTCTGGTGAATAGCAGGACCAACCACTCCTCCTCGGGACACCCTCGGCTTGCCCGGTACGTGTCCTGACTAACACACCTCCTTTTCGGTGCGCCCCTTCCCGGGCGGGGGTGAGTCCCGCCGTGCCGAGCCCGCCCCTCCGGCCCTGCCCGAGGGGAGGGAGGGAGGGAGGCCGGGCGAGGGGCGGCCCGGAGCCCGGCGCAGCGGCACCGGAGCAGCAGCAGCCCGCGCCCCGCCGCCGGCAGCGGCTGCTCAGGCGGCGGCGGGGGCAGGTGCGGGCGCGTCCGCGTCGCGCTGCGAGGAGGAGCAGGACGAGGAGGAGGAGGCGGCGGCGGGCGGCGCGGCCGGCGGCCCGGAGCCGGGCCGGCGTGCCCGTGGGCGTGCTCCCCGGCGGGGAGGACCGCCCGCCGCCCACATCGCCGCCGCCGCCGCTAACTTTGCTGCTCCGCAAAGAGCCGCCCTCCGGCAAACAGAGAGTCGGCGGAGCCGGGGTCCGAGCCGGCCCCAGCGATGAAGGGCCGGCGACGGTGGCGAGGCGAACATCGCCGCTTCGCCGCGGTGCTGGTGCTGTACACGCTGCTGCTGCTCCTGTTGGTGCCCTACGCGCTGGACTACGGAGCCAGGCGCGGGCGAACGGACGAGGAGCCGCTGCTGCGGCGCTGCCCAAGCCTAGAGGAGGCGCTGAGTGAGTGGGGCTGGGAGCAGCGGCCGCCGCTGGACGAGGAAGAGGAGAAGGATGAGGCGGGCACGGCCGGGGCGGCGGGTAACGGCAGCGCGGGGACGGCGGGGAAGCGGCACATCTACCTGCACGCTACCTGGCGAACGGGCTCCTCTTTCCTCGGGGAGCTCTTCAACCAGCACCCCGACGTCTTCTACCTGTACGAGCCCATGTGGCACCTTTGGCAGGCGCTCTACCCGGGGGACGCGCTGAGCCTGCAGGGAGCCCTCCGCGACATGCTGCGCGCCCTCTTCCGATGCGACTTCTCCGTCCTGCGCCTCTACACCGCCCCGTCCGGCCCCCGCGACCCGCTGGCCCCCGCCCCGCCCGCCGCCGACAACCTCACCACGGCCAGCATCTTCGGCTGGCGGACCAACAAGGTGATCTGCTCGCCGCCGCTCTGCCCCGCCGCCCCGCGGCCCCGCGGGGAGATCGGCCTCGTCGACGGCGCCACCTGCGAGGAGACGTGTCCGCCGCGGGCGCTGCGGGAGCTGGAGGCCGAGTGCCGCAAGTACCCGGTGGTGGTCATCAAGGACGTGCGGCTGCTGGAGCTGGGCGCGCTGCTGCCGCTGCTGCGGGAGCCCGGCCTCAACCTGCGGGTGGTGCAGCTCTTCCGCGACCCCCGCGCCGTCCACAACTCCCGCCTGAAGGCGCGGCAGGCGCTGCTGCGGGAGAGCGTCCAGGTGCTGCGCAGCCGCCACCGCGCCGAGCCGCGGGGCCCGGCCCGCCACCAGCAGCAGCATCTCCTGCTGCCGCCCGGGATGCTGGGCGGAGGGCGGCCGCCGCAGCCGCAGCACCGCGCCGAGTTCTTCCTCGGCGGCGCGCTGGAGGTGATCTGCCAGTCTTGGCTCCGCGATCTCCTCCTGGCCCGGCGCGCCCCGGACTGGCTCCGCCGCCGCTACACGCAGCTCCGCTACGAGGACCTGGTGCGGGAGCCCCGCGCCGAGCTGCGGCGCCTGCTGCGCTTCGCCGGGCTGACGGTGCCGCCAGCCCTGGAGGACTTCGTGGTCAACATGACCCGCGGCGCCGCCTACTCCTCCGACCGGCCCTTCCTCATCTCCGCCCGCGACGCGCGGGAGGCCGTGCACGCCTGGCGGGAGCGCCTCAGCCGCCAGCAGGTGCGGCAGGTGGAGGCGGCGTGCGGAGAGGCCATGAGCATCCTCGCCTACCCCCTCAGCGCCGGCGACGCCCGGTAGCGCCCGAGCCGCACGTCCCGGACGGGCCCCAGGACGGACGGACGGACGGACGGGCGGGCGGGCGCCGTCGGGCAGAGCTGAGCGCGGGGGTCACCGCTGTCAGGGTAGGCGCCCACTTGGCGGGCCGGGCGCTCCCTCGGGGGCTGAGCGACGCCTGCCTCGCCTCGGGCACAGGCAGCGCTGCAGGGTCCGGGCCGCCCGTGCCGCTGTGGCTTCATTGTGGCTGTGTTCCTTATGGACTGCGTGGAGAGGGCAGGGGGATGTTTTATTTACGAGAAGGGTTTGGTAAGAGGTGTCCTCCGAGTCCGGCATCACTCTTGGAGGCTTTTAGCTTGAAATTGTGATCATGTACAAAGAACAGGTATGCTACAAACAAACTGCATGAAAATTGAAAAATCCCCCAGGTGAAGACTCTCAGCAAGGAACTAGAGGACCTGGAAGGTGCTCTTGTGAGACCATTGCCCTCCTGGAGCTCTGAATCACACTGACCTCTGTCTTACTGCTACTGAAACACAAGAGGCTTCTGTGAAGTCGCTGCAGGGGTCAGCAGGGCCTGGACAGCCAGGAGGAGGGTGCCTGCTGCAGGGCAGGGCTCAACTCTCCTGCTCCAAACCTGCTCTGCAGGGATGGCCTCTGCCCCTGTTCATTACTGGTGCTGTAGCGGGGGGGTGGGCTGAGGGAAGGGGAGCTGTGTCCAGCTCCGTCTGTCGTTCTGAGCAGCAGGGTAAGCATTTGCCTGCTTATGTGTTTTGAAGATGTTTGTGGCAGAAATCTTTGCTTTTCTAAAGAAATCTGTAATTGTTTTGAAAGCAGGATTTTTTATAATATACATACATTGATACAGTTTGGTGATATTCGTGTGAGATACAGGTGACTAGCGTGTTTCTTTGGAACACGTGTAGGGGCGAATGAAACTGGAAGGCAAATGCTTGACATTTCTGTTTTGTTTTCTCTCACAGATGAGAGAATCACTTTTCTTCCCTTGCTTCCGGGCTGACACATTGCACCGTGCTCAGGGTCCTCCTGATCACATCCCTTCCAAACAATAACATCCTCTCAGCTGGCAACTCCTGGACAAAAGCAAATGTTTCCAAAAAGCCAAAAAAAAATAAACAATCCCAAAAAAAAACCTAAAATAAAAAAAAGTAAACAAATGAAGCAAACAAACAAACCAACAAAAAACACTGGAGTTTTATTTTGGATTTTAAAATTATATGTTCCTGCAGCTTTTGTGAGAAGAGGGTGTGTGTGTATCTTGAAGCGCCTTTGTTTCTTAATTTCTTTATGTGAGGATAGAAGGTTCAGTTGTAATTTAGGGATGCAGTTTCATAACTTCATAGAGACTGCTTTTGTATCTATTACAGTCTGGTAGTCTTTAAATGGCTTCACAAGAGTGTACAGGGATGTTTACATGCAGTCCTCAAATACAAACCCAGAATATGAGTTTCAAAATGAGAATAATCCAGGATCAAGACGAAAGCAGTATTTATATAAAGTGCTGAAAATAACGGCATTTCAAAGATGTTATGTTATCATGGAGGAGGTGTTTGAATTGCACGGTACATTTTTGTGCTCTGAGTGTTGTGCTGTACAGCATGTCACTAAGTTAGGATGAACCCTCATTTATTTTGGCTCTTTCTTCCCTTGATCTTCCCATCTGAGAGTATGTTGGCATAAGAAGCAGGGCTCTTTCATTATCTGACAGGAAAATGTAGTAATAACAATATTTTTGAACAAATTTATCCATTTCCCTGTAGCATACTTTATACAGTTTTGCAACCTTGGGCTTCTGCTTGAAGTATGAATTACAGGGTCTCATGTTGTGCTAGAAAAATGTGTGTATTATCTAGGGGATGTTTCTGCATTCTCTCACTGTGCCTGTGATATCAAAATTTGTCTTTGGGTGTTCCAGTGGCATTTAATAATGATGTTTGAATAGACAGTACCTGTACAATGCCTTGATAACCTGTGTCAGGTAGCCTATTTTGGAAGGCTTTTCTGGGACTATACCCAGCCTGACTTGTACTGACAGGTTTGGAAAGAAATTAAGATTTTTGTGCATACCAGAAGATGATATGATACTTATTTTCTTAAATAGGATGGAAGATTAAAATCCAGTATATCCTCTTGATTTGTTCCTAGCAAGTTGCAGTCACAGAATTGTGTGATGCAACAGTTAAGCAGAGAATCTCATTACGCTCTTTTAGGTGGTAAATATCTTTCATAAGTCTTTCAAAGTTCACATTTAATTTCACTGAAAATTGTTCATCATGATGAGCAAAGAAGTGTTAACATTTAGCTTAACTTGTTTCTTATACCTGGGAGAAAATCCACTTACTGGAAATTATCTGGTATTTTCTCAAAGTGTTCCATGTTTGAGCTGCAGAGGTGGTGAAGGGCCTTGAGGGGAAGCCATGTGAGGAACATCTGAGGTCATTTGGTCTGTTCAGCCGGGAGGAGACTGAGAGGAAACCTCATTGCAGTCCACAGTTTCCTCATGAGAGGGAGTGGAACTGCAGGCACTGATCTCTTCTCTCTGGTGACTGGTGACAGGACCCAGGGAATGGCCTGAGCTGTGTCAGGGGAGGTTTAGGCTGGGTATTAGGAAAAGGTTCTTCACCCAGACGGTGTTTGGGCACTGGAACAGCTCCTCAGGGAAGTGGTCGCAGCACCAAGCCTGACAGAGCTCAGTAAGTATTTGGACAATGCTCCAGGCCAATGGTGTGACTGTTGGGCTTGTCCTATGCAGGGCCTGGAATGGGACTTTGCTGATCCTTGTGGGTCTGTCCCAACTCAGGATAATCTATGATAGATGCATTTTCTGTATCAATAATTGTTTCTGTCAGCAAAATTTGCTCACTAGCTTCGTTGCTCTCCATGAGTGATTATTTTAATTTTTAAATTTTTGTATAATGTGAAAAGGGCTCTATTAGACAAAGTGTACGAAAATATAGCAGGTGTAATTTTCGGTTTGTATTCAGAGCACCTGAATTCATTAGAAAACTCATCTAAAAAGTCCATAGGGAATATCCAAAGCTGAGAAAGTAGCAAGTAGGCCAGAACGACATCTTAAAACAGTATGTGGATGACACTTGTTTAGTGACTGGTGATGTGACATCTGGGCTTCAGTCACTAGAAGGTTTTCTAAAATTCTCCTGCCCAAGGAGGACAACTAAGGCTCACCAACAAATGAATCCCACTTTTCAGGGTGTTTGGATGGCATTGGACAGCTTCATTCAGGGTGCTTACAGCATATACTTGGTCTTGAAACTCAGGCCTTGAAGAAAAAGCAAATGTACTGTCAAATGTCAGTGTTGGTATTTGTCTGGAAAGGCAGAAACATGCCTGATTAGGACAACCAGCATGGAGTTTCAGTGGCAGAGATCTTTGGAACCAACCAGAACTTGCTGAAAGCAGGACACCCATCGTTAGACTGCATTTTGAGAGCAGCTGGACATGTATGGCTTGAGCAGTTTGAGGTGAAGTCACCGTTCTACTGGATGATGTAGAAAATTGAGCTGTGACTGCTCATTTAGAGCAGAGCATGGTATGATAATCAAGAGAACAGTGAACACATTTTTATAGCCAACCTGAACTTGGAAGGCTTAGAATCACTTTGTCAGTGACACCACATGCAGAGAACAGAAAGTGCAGTCCTGCAGAGTGCAGGACTCAGCCATAAAGTTTTAGTATTTTGGACTGAGACTGGTGAAAATTACCTACTTATGGTACATTACATACAATGAAATAACAACTAATTTATTAAAAAGTCATAGTGGGAAATGGGTACCAAACTGACAAATGCTCACAAGACAACTCTGTTGTCTGTTTTTACTTAACTTTTGGTTGTCACATGTCCAAGTTAAGGGAGGTAGAAACTTGAGTAGTGTAATTATTCATAAAAGGCTGGGATATTTCCATGCCATAATTGCTTGTGGGAAATTATGAAAGTCTACAACCAAGAAATACTTGGGCCCTGCCTTATTTCTACTCCTTAGGATACGGAGTCCTTGTAGATAGCCACAGTATGTACTTGCATACTGCAGGTACAATAGAAATAGTTTGGTATCAGATGCAGTATCTAACAAAAGTTAGATATGGTTGTGGAGTTACTTATTTAACAACTTCAGTATCGCATGAGTCATTTTAGCCCCTCCTCCCCCATCAGTCTGGGCATCAAGAAAAGTCCTGAATTTCTTCATTAAGTTCTCAGTACCACCACCTTCAGTAAAGCTCAACAAGAAAAATACTGCAGAGTTTTGGGTTTCTTATGGCAGCACAATTAAACCACCGAAACCTCGACAGCCAACAAGCCCAACAGCATGTTCTGTTCCTTTCTTGAGCACAGAGAGCTGTCACTGAGACTCTCTGATGGTGCATGTCGTTTTTCAGAGTCACCATGCAATCCATGCAGCACTGGGACTACTTGAGATGTTGTTTTGTCTTTCCTATTTAACATTACACCATGGAGGATGACATGGGAGAAATATGATATGTCAAGCCTTGCACTAGCAGTTTTCAACATCCCACTGGCAGTGTGTGTGTGTGTGTGTGTGTGTGTGTGAATGAGGGGCCAGGTCCAAATTGTCTTTCTCTTGGCTGTGTTTCAAAGAGATGAAAGTTGGATGCAAACACATTGAGGTGGTGGGTTTCAATGCTTAAGGGGCCTGTTAGTTGATGAGATGTATATCTGGCAGTCTCGGCTCTGAACAGCAGGCTGGCAGCTGATTAACATTTTAGGACTTCCAGTCTGGATATTGAGTACTGTGATTTCTTGCTTCCAGCACTGAGATGTTAAGCTCTGCTGCTAACCTGGGGCACCTGCAGTGCCATTTCTTGTCGCTGTTGAGTGAGAATCCAGTCCTTCCCTGGAGCTTCCAAACTTGTTTCCCTGTTTCTGAAGGTTCAACTTTGCCAAACTTCAACTGTATATACACTGAAGCTTTTTGTCATGGGCATAAGGTTTAAGTCTCTTGAAATTTCAGTCAAAGCAGTTGCATATTCTTTTTAACTTAGGATGTGGTGGTCTTTTGCCTGTGTTCAAATATTCTCAGAGCTATTTCTTTGAAATCATTTGTCACTTCAGTGTTTTGGAACTCCATTTTGGGTAGGGGCAGTACCTCTGGGATGTCCCCTGTGTTTTTATTTTTACCTCTGATTTCTATTCTGATTTGGCCAAATACATTAATGTCTGTATAAAATTAATAGCACGTGCTCAGTAAAAGTGGTTTTGGTATGT